GTTTGACAAGTTAAGCCGGGTTGACTTGGGTCATTCTTTTTGTCCTTTTTTATTTGAGCTTATTTTCAATTTAGTCCATTAACATTGGGTTGATTTGAAATTGAGTTTCATAATTTATTTTTATTAGCTTTCTATAGGATTATTACGGTCTTTCAACCCAGATCGCAAGTTAAGCTGATTGATTTGGGTTTTTTTTTAAAAGCAAGTTAAGCTGATTGATTTGGGTTTTTTCTTTTTTAAAAAAAATTGGTTTAATTTTTTTTTAATTTTATCTTTCAACATTGAATTAATTTTGAATTAAGCTTCATAATGTTTCAATTTATTTTTTATGAGGTTATCTCGATCTCATGATCTAGATTTGAAAGGTTAACCTAGGTCAACTCGATTTATTTTTTAGTTGAGTTTTGTTTTCAATTTCATCCTTCAATATTTAGTTAATTGAGAATTGAGTTGAATAATTTTTTGCATTTGCTTTCTATAGGGTTATTAGGATCTCATCACCTGTGTAGCAGATTTGACAAGTAAACCTAAGTTGATCCAAGTTGATCTAATATATTTTTATTTCAATACTTAAAAAATCAATGTCATCTTAATTTTTTTAGTTAAACTATATTTTTATCAGTCATATGGGTTATCTTTAGACCTACTAAGTTAATTAGGTTACATCAAGTCAATCCCTATGTAGTTTTTTTAATATTAAAAACATACGACACCTGGATATTTCTTATGTTAAACAAAAAATCTAATTTGACTCATAGTGTAGTACGGGTAATTATCTAGTTAAGTGCTAAAAAAAATCTTGTACAAGGAAATTAATGAAACCAAAACAAAATACTTGAGATGATGTAAGTAATGTATTGTTAATATAGATTTTGGACTGCAAATAGGTAGATATATCTGTATCAGTTTCAAATATGGTTATTAAATTCAGCATATTATATTGGATTGACTCAAGAAACTTGAGATTTAAAGTTTGACCCGAATCAGGATTTTCATTGAACTAAACAATACTTTGACTTGACCATTTTAAGTCAGTCAAATTTTAATACCTTGGTTGACCTAACCAAAACCGATCCAAACCTAACCGGATCAATATCTTGTAAAAAAAGAATAAAATGTTTTTTTTTTACTAAAAGTATATGACCTAATGACTTAGCGACCCACACTTCTTTTCAAGTAAGTATTTGAATTAGATGTGACAATCATATTATCCAAAAGCTAGACTAATGAGTATGGATTGTTTAGTTTATCATAACAAGTGCATATTAATTTTTTAAAAAATCCAAAAATTAAACTAGTATTTATAAAGTTTAGTTTGGTTCTCTCATTAAATTATTATGTCCTCTCATCAAACCTAAACCTTGCTAGAGCACGAGTCAAGTTAGGTCATGTGTGCGTGTATGATTTTAAACTTAAAGCCCACTTTGATTAAGTCCTCTCACCTCTAAAATTTTTGTTGCCCTTTGGTTTTAAAGAGCTAGAAAAATTGTCCAAAAAACTATCTAGGTTATGCAAAGTTAGTTTTGAATAAAACTGAAGAAATTGATTAGACTTAATTCATGGACTGAACAAGATAATAAGCTAAAAAAAAAATTTCTTCATAAATCTAAATTAAGCCCAAAATTAAATTGTAAAAAATAATTTATTTTACAACAAACTCAAGTCCAGGCACAGCCCAAGCAAAGTCGGGCCTTAAGAGTGTGTAGGTTTAAGCTCAAATTCCACTTTGCTTAGGTTATCTACCTTCTAAAAGCTTCCATTCTTTTTGAATCAAATTTTAATTTTTCACTTTTTCACTATATAAACAATAAGGAAAACTTGTTTTTGTGTGTGTGTGTGGAGGGGGGATATGAGTTTTAAGAATGTTTTGAGTTTCTCTAAAATATATCAACCAAGAATTCTTTAGAATTAATTTCTTATTTATTGATAATCTGCTTAAATCATATTAATGTTCCCTATTAAAAATTTTATGTTGAAGATTAAATTTCAATAATATTTTAACCTTAAAAGTGAGTGGATCTTAATTTTAATTTAACCTAAAATAACCCATTAACCATATTTTAAAAAACCTTCTCCAACCAACTATGCCTCATAATGTTCAATTCCAAGTTTCCATACAATGTTCACTTCGAATTTTCACATATAATGTTGTGTCCATTACTGTATAGGCATTATAGTCAATCGGTTGGTTATATGTGACATTGACCTTGTTCATGTAAATATATTTAATTTCCTAATAAAAGCTTATTTATCTTTAATATTCATCAAATATATTATTAATGAATATAATATTTTAGTAATGAATTTTAAAGTTTTGGGACAAAAATACTTCATAAAAGAAATTATAAAGTTGTTATAATTATGAGATTCATGTTATATCAAAACATTGCTTCTAAAATATTCATGGTCAATGTTCTATTAAAACTAGATATTAGTTAGAGTTATTAAGACTGATATATACTATGTTTTTTTCTTAATAAAAGAAAGCAGATGTTCTCATAAGCTGAGGTATCAGAGATACCTAGAACTAATATATAGTTGTTTGTCAAATGAAATATACCCACATGAAGATTTTATATTGAGAAAATACATGTGTTTATGAAAAGACTTACGTGACGGTTATAAGTGATCCTTAGACTTGAGATCATTAATTATCTTATATAAGAAGTGTTATATTTTGAACTTGCTATATGTTATCCTAATCAAGGGTAACAAATGAGCATATATTGGGTAAAACATGAACTATATGAAGGTATTTAAGTAATTAAAAAGAATTCATCAACCTAGGTGAATTAAAAAAAATATTTCATTTGTTCTTAAATAGTATTGATTGTAAATTATTGTGCAATGTGAAATGGGATTTGAAAAGATTTTCAAATCTTATTCAAAGAATTAATGACTATGATATTGAGAATAAATATCATTTGATAGAGTAGACACACTTCATGCTATAATATCTAAATCAAAACATTGATAATGATGGGATGATAATTACATTTAGAAACTAGTTATAAAAAAGTTAAGTCAAATCACTTATAACTTTCTTAATATTTAGGGGATCATAACAGATTAATAGATATTATACTTGATTTTTAAATATAAATCGATCAATTATTGAATTGATAATAAATTAATTTATTTAATCCTATTTTATTTAGAATTATGATTTATATTTGGGTCAACTTATTAGGGAATCTAATGGGTCACATATATAAGAGCCATTAGTCAAAAATTAAAATATGATCATCAATCAAATATAAATTTATTATAAATAAATTTTAGAAATAGAGGACTGAAATGTAATTAATACAAATGATTACAATTGTAGACCTAGAAACAATGAAGTGAGAACTTAATTGAATAAATTTATAAAACTAACTTAAAATAATATATGTGATATTATTTAATGGGTAAATTGATATTTTATCATTTATATGATTTTTAAGTTTTTCTATATGAGAAAGTTATGTCTTTTATTTTCTGTGAGTAAAGAAATACCTCAGACATAAAAGAAAAGAGCTACACTCAAATGTATCACTCTCTTCTAATAGAGTTTAAAAGATTTTTTATTGGTGATTCATGTAAATTACCGTTAGAAATCATATATTCGATCAACTTATAATTTGCGATGACCCAATTTTAAAGTAATTATTCAAAGTTAAAAAAATATTTGATCTTAAAATAATCTTTATATAAACTCTAAAGAACTTTATATTTGTCTAATAAAATCATAAAAACTCTTACAAAAAATTATATTTATTATTTTTACTGTATATAAATGTTTTAAAAACCCAAAAATATTAGTCTTCATGATTTTAATAAGTACAAAATGATACAGTGCAATTACAAAAGGTGCTTACATTTTCCCTTAAAGATTGAATTATTGATGGTATTTTAATGTAGCTCAAATTAAATATAAAATTATTTTTTTAAGCCTCATCCAACAGGTTAAATTTATGTGGTGACCAGCATCATTGCTCCTTGCCCATGAGTCGAAACAAAATTGAGATTGGTGTAGAATAAATTACAATTCAGTCTCTTTAGTTTTGTAAATTAAACTAAATGGTCCCTCTAGTTTTTTTTAAAACAACTACTTAATTAGTTCTTTTTGTCCATTTCATGTTATTTGATAATTTAATCTTTTTTTTTTTTGTTTTAAGAAATAGAAAAAGAAAAGTTAGTTCTTTTTGTCCATTTCATGTTATTTTATAATTTAATCTTTTTTTCGTTTTAAGAAATAGAAAAAGAAAACTTAAATAAGATGAAAGGTTGATGAGAAGAGACGTTAAAGAACAAAATAATATTAAAAGTTAAATACTATGAAAGGTTGATGAGAAGAGACGTTTTTAGAACAAAATAATATTAATTAAAGTCGTCCATTTCAGGTTAATCTTTTTTTTTATGAAGAAATAGAAAAAGAAAAGGTAAATAATAGGAAAGATCGATATGAAAAGAGAGGCCTTTTTAGAACAAAATAATATTAAATTAAAGTTGTCCATTTCATGTTATTTTCTAATTTAACCTCTTTTTTTTGTTTTAAATAATAAAAAAAATGTAAATATTATGAAAAGGTTGAAGAAAAGAGAGACATTTTTAGGAAAAAAAATAATATTAAATTAAATTTGTCCGTTTCATGTTATTTTCTAATTTAATTTTTTTGTAAGAAATTGAAAACGAAGAGGTATATAATATGAAAAGGTCGATGAAAAGAGACATTTTAAGGCGAAAAAACATTAAATTAAAGTTGACTGTTCAATAAATGAATTTATTTATTAATCCCAAAAGGTTGACTTGTGATTAAAAAGATGAACGCATTTCCTTTGATTTTACTTCAAAGTTTGGAGTTATCATTTAAAAAATTATTAAATTCATCTAAGTATATAACAAATATATAAAAAGAAATAAAGCTTTTAAAAACTAAATTCTAATTCTAATTAACACGTAAATAATGTTAAAAACAAAAAAACAAAAATGCAAACCTTCTCCTAAGAGCTTGTGAGTTTTTGGAACTCCAGAAAAAATAAAATTCATTGCTTACTCCAAATGGATTGTAGAGAACAAAAATATGAATCAACCATGTAGCTTAATTTAATAGATGAAATATGCTACTTCAGTATCTCCAACAGTTACAGCATTCAAAATTTTACTGGGAAAACAAAAGGGAAGCAAAGTGAATGATATGATGAGCCCAATAACTGGAATTAAACAAATGGCAGAAATTTGCTAGAGTCCAAAAAGTTTCTTACACGCTCCGAGGATCCTGCCTCTGCTATGTTTTTTCTTCACAGATCTTGTTGACTTCATTGTGTCCAAAGTATCATCTTCATCATGGATGGGTGATGCAGATGTCATAGATTGGTTATGGATCCTGCAATACCCTTCTGACACCGAAGTAGATCTTCTCATGGAGAATGCTTTCTTCACTGCAGAAGCTGATGAAGAAACCGAAGGGTTCCTCCGCAGCTTCATGCTAAGCCTCTCCTCAACATCGTTTTCTTGATCATCTTCAAAAACTGAGAGTGAATCTTGAGTGGTGGCGGAGGTGGTGCCAGAACGAATTACGTTCATGGTGTTGATGTCCTGGTTTATGATCTTGGTTTCGCTTTCCTGGTGCTCGAGGAAGGTGCTTGTGTTGGATTTTGCGGGCTCAGGAAATGCCAAGGAAGGATCTGAGAAGTCTATGGATCTTGAATTGGCAGCGCCAAAGATTTTGATCTTGGAATAACCATTCATTTTGATTGTTGGACTTGTATTGCGGGGGGGGATGGAGACCATAAAGACTTTGCCAATGGTGGCCTGGTGAGCTAGAAGGTCTTGAAAATGGGGCCTGGTGATCAGTACAAAGGATGGGACAAGACAGCTTAGAATGCCTTATTCATGGTGTGGAATGGATTGGTTTAGACTACTTGTGATGTAGGGCATCTGCAGTGGAAGAGGTAGTGCACAAGATGTACTTACAGGTGTATTTGAAAGAACAGTATTATTAGTTTTTTAAAATATTTTTTATTTTAAATATATTTTTAAAATTAATATGTTAAAACAATTTAAAAATATCAAAAAAAATATTAATTCAAAATAAAAAAAATTTAAATATTTTTAAAATATTTTTAAAATATAAAAACAAATAGATTTATAATAAATCTTAAAATTAAAATAATGTATAGTTGATTTGTATAGATTAAAATAACTTTTTTCAAGAACAGGAAAAATGCAACGCGGATTTTAAGGAATGAACGTTTTTTGTTCAAACAATTTGAGTTTAACTTGTCAGGATTTTGTTTTTTTTAAAAAAAAACAAATTATCCTTGGACAAATTTATGTGTCGATTAGCACTAAATCTCATTTTAGAATGATTTTACAGGGCATCATCTATATTGATATAGTGAATTTAATTAGGGAAATAAATCTTCTTTCATCAAGAAAAGAAAATAAATTCTCTAGATATTGATTTCAAAATCTAAATTCATATCATTTTTGGAAATGATGTATGCTGGATTGAATACAATTTATAATTTATTATAATTTTATGTTTGAAATAAAATATTGAATCATGTAATTAAATGCAATTATATTATTTAGAATACATATAGAAATGAATAGAATTATCAATATTGATTATTTTTCTTTAAATTTATAACTTATTTTTGTTACAGAAATCAAAAAGGAAAGAAAAGACTCGGGAAGGAAAAAACAATAAAAGAAAAAAATAACAAATGAAAGATTAATAACAAAGTAAAATGTGGATATTTTTTATATATTATTTTTAACGTTAATTTCAAGAGATTATTATAGCAAATCAAGTGGTCTCCCATCTTATTTACTTTTGCATCTATTTTACAGATCAAAGTCTATTTGAAATTTAAATCAATGCCCTTAAAAAGATTTTAAATACAAAAATTCATTTCATCCTCTTAATTAAATTCAATTTACAGACTCCCAAATAGACTAAAAAAGTTATAGAAAAAGATGAAGCAATTCTTTTTAATTATCAAATCTACCTCAAGAATTGGACTTCCCTCGAGTTAGGAATAACATAATTTAATTATTATCTTAGATGAATTCATGCTATTTTGTAAAGCAGGTTGAAATAGCATCCACTTAAAAAGTGTTCAAAGACTTTTTTTTTTATTATTATTAATATAAATATTTAAATTAGTTTTATACATACCTCAACTGATCTGTGAGTTTTGAAATTAATGATTATATAAATTTTTAGTAAATATTATTAATCGTATAAATTATGAATTTAACGACTATATAAATCTTCAATAATCTTAAAATTAATAGAACTCAAACTAGTAATTTTTAAAATACAAACCTATAATTTAATAATCAATTAAATTATACCTTTTAAAATTAAAAAATATTCAAAGACTCACTCAACCAACCAAGTCCAAGCATGTTTCGTCCACATTAGAACAACACGGCAATCTAATGAAAATAATTAAAACAATAGTCCTCGTGACTTTGCATTATATAGTTTGAATGAAGAAAAAAAATACACTTGTTTGACTGCTGCATTTAAGAACCTGTGCTCTCGATTCAAACCATATGCGGATGACAGCAAATACAAATTTTGTATTTTTTTAATTATTTACCTAAATGACCATATGTGGGTGTTTGAAAATATTTTTAAAAAATACATATTTTTTTATTTGAAAACATTAAAAATATATTAATTAAAAATAAAAAAATAAAAAAATTTCAATCAGTACCGACCACTGAAATGCTGGAGGTAATATGAAAGATGGAGAATATCTACTGCCGTATCTTGTTATCCTTAACTTTGCTTTTGAATGGCCAATATTTATTACAGGCGACTTTAAAGAGACTTTAACACGATCTGAAAGTAGTGATTTTTCTTGATCGAGTATGAGCTAGATGTCTACATAATTTTTTAATACTTGTGATCTTCTGAAAGTTCCTTCGCATGGCCATCGATATGCATGGTTTAGAGGATCTTCAATGAGCTGCAAAGGTAGATGTTTTGCTTGCTTAGATGCTATGCTAGCCTTCTCTAATCGTAGGCTTTTCAGGATAGATAGAAGCCTCTCAAACCACTGCCCAGTTGTGCATAGAAAATAATGTGGAAATTAAGGTAGGAGACCATTTTTTTTATTGCTATTAATTTATTTAATTTAATACCGAGAATATACGTTATGTTATATAGTACGTACCATAGATATTAATTAAAAAACTTATTTTTATGGTATTTTTAAATTTTGATTAAATCCTAATAGGTAACATTAATTGGTTATGATACTTTTTTTTTGTATTTAAAAAACAAAACATGAAAAAATATAATTTTTGATTTTTTTATAAAAAACATGAAAAAATATAATTTTTTATTTTTTTATAAAAATATGCATGAAAACCTTTTAAAATTTGGCTTTATGCACACAAATAAAACATATTTTTTATGTGTTTTCAAAGAGGAATTGTTTTATTTTTTTGTTAAGTTTTAGAGAAAAACTAGGTATTTTTAATATCGAGTCGGTATTTTACTATGTAATTCTACATCTTGATATTTGGTAAAATTGTTGAAAAAAGACATTTTTGTATTTTTAAAATAAAGAAGTTCTAGGATTTTTTTTGAAATTTTAGAGAAAAAACATGTATTTTTAATTTCAGGTTAGTATCTTATCTTACCATCTAAATCTATAATTTAATATTAGGCATAAGGCTCACCATCTAAATCTATAATTTAATATTAGGCAAAATTGATAAGGCTCGAAGGTGAGCTATTTAGAAAGTATGGGCTCAAAAGCACACTCAAAATAAAATAATGTGTCAAAGGCACTATGTAAAAAAGATAGGGCTCAAAAATGTGTTATCTAAAAAATAAGGGTTCAAAAGTACATTCAGAAGAAAAAAAATAGGGCTCAAAGACGCTCTATTTAAAAGATGAAGGCTCAAATACGCATTCAAAAAAAAAAAGATAATTAAAAGATGAAGGCTCAAATACGCATTCAGAAAAAAAAAAAAAAAAGATAGGGCTCAAAAGCACGTTATTTGAAATACAAGGGCTCAAGGTTCGCTCATAAAAATATAGTATCACAGACACTATGTAAAAGACATGGGGTTCAAATGCAAATTATTTTAAAGGTGAGAGCTCAAAGATGTACTAAAAAAAATAGTACCATAAGTACTATATAAAATAGATAAAGCTAAAATGCACCCAATATAAAAGGTAAGGGTTTAAAGATGTACTAAAAAGAGAATCGTGCTAAAAGCATTATATAAAAGATTGGAAGGTAATGGCTCAAAGATGTATTGTTTGGAAAGTAATAGCTCAAAGGTGCACTTATAAGAAAATAGTGTTAAAGGCACTATATAAAATAGATAGGGCTTATAAACACGCAATTTAAAAGATGAAGGCTCAAAGGTGCATTCAAAAGAAAATATTTCAATGATTTCATCAAAAATAAATTACTTAAAAGTACACTTGAAATGATATACACCTTCAAGGTATCCCATGATCTCATGTCTCGAGAATTGGGCATTTTTTACCCCTTGTATTAACAAAAATTAAGTTTTTAATAGCCTTTCCTTATTGAAATAATTTGGACTCATCGAGGGTTTTATCCTTATACTCCCTAAAAGGGTTAAAATGCAATGCTTTGGAACTAATATGCATGTATTTTTTTTTATAAATATAGATCGCTCTTTCTTCATGGACTTTGTCTCCTAGAACTTCAATCCCCATAACAAGTTTTCATGGCTCCTTCACTTTTGCTTACTCAAACCACAACTTGTAGACTTGTCCTCTAAGAAAGAGATTTTTATTTAAGGAGCTCTTAGGAAAGAGATGGTCATTTAAGATGTCCAGATTATATTTTTTTATCCCGGTATTTAGACACTTGTATCTTATTGATTGTAACCTTTCAAGACTCCTATATTTATCACCATAATTATATAAGTATCATTGTTAAGGTATTGTAACCACCACTCAATATTCACCATACCTGATTTATTCTAGCTTTCATTAAAGGATTTAAATAGTTTTTTTTTCATTTTCTGCCTTTTTAGAAAAGGAATCATGTAGCCAACTACGTTGGGTTTCTTGAATTGCCCCTAGTCTAATCATGCCCTCCAAGTACTTTATTTGATTTTGTTTGCTTGGCTTTTCTCAATGATGATGTTCTGCAGAAGACAAAAGATCAACATCATAAAAAAAGCTTTAAAATTTCAAAACTATTTCCAAATACAAAAACCATTTTAAAGCAAGTTTAAAGCAAATTTGTTTTAAAAAGTTCTAACAACTCCTATAAATATGGTTTCATAAAGGTTGAATTTTAGATTTTAGTGTAGGTTTTTTTCTTATTAAAAATCTAAAGTGACTTGTTTTCATAATTTGTTGGTCAAAGAACTTGAGTCTCAACTCAAGAATTTTAAAGAAAAAAATATTCTTTAAAGTACTCATTTTACTTATATGAATAATAAAGTATAACCATAATCTTTTAAAGATCTTACTTACCAACTCAGATCATTTGCTTTTTATTAGAAAAGATTTTATCAAGTACATAATATGGATTTTGACTCTTGGTTATGAAAAGAAAAGATATCTATAACCTCAAGAGGTGTTTAAGAGGTGTTTAAGGGATCTCATGATTAAAAATTACTAGCACTTGTTCCTAAGGTTTTATTTTGTTTGATGACCTCTTAGTTTGATTTGGACTATTTGTTTTGAGTATCATTACAATATCATTTTTACTTGTCATGAAATAATACATATAATATTATATTATTTTAGGATTGAATTGATATTTTATTATTTATGAAGTTCTTAGGTTTTTCTATAAATAGAATGTAATATCTTTTATTTTATGTACATGATATTGTATGACAGTATATAAAAATACATTACAGAAATATCTATAACATAAAAAATAAAAAGTGCTAGCACTTAAATATATAACAATTTATCTCTCCTATAGAGTTTAAAAGATTTCTTACTAGTATATGATGTAAATTACTTTTATAAATTAGATATTTAAACAACATATAGTTTGCAACAACTTAGTCCTCAAAAAAATATTCAAATCCAAAAAGAACATTTAATCTTTAAATATTTTTCATATAAACCTTAAATAATTCTAGATTTATTTAATGGATTCCTTAAAACTCCTAAAAAAAATTTAAATTTATCATTTTTTATGGGTGTATACAATAATTAAAACCTAACGTTAACCACTAATGATTATCCTTTTTTTTACTAAGCGGAAAAAGACAAAGAGATAGAAGCTTAAAGATAATATAACCTTACTTATTAGCTTTATCTGATAAATAACAAATTTCCTCCCAGCTAAAATATAAACGGTAAAGGTTTTAAAAGAGAGAAAATATAAATGGGTAGGATTCTTTAAAGTCTTAGTTAAAATTATAAATGCATTACTCGAAGACCTGCCCTCGTAAAGAATGTTAATACAATCAAACAGGAGTAAACAATTTTTTTAAAAAAATAAATTAAATACCAACAAAATAAAAACAAAAACCTTGCTCTCATGTCACATTTACATGGTGCACCATGATTTGAACCTATAAGTAGGTTAGTATTTAAATATCAAAAATTGACTAGAAAATTTTTAAGATTATTTTAGATATTTATTAATTTTAATTAGGACACTAACAGAAAATTAATAAATACTAGCGGATATATCGAGAGAATATTTCTGTCAATAAATTTTCGATAAATTTCACCAACGGAAATATTCCCTCAGCATATATCAAGGGAATTAAAGTGGGAAAAAAAATTAAAATAAAGCAAAAAAATAATGATTTACCAACAGAATTACCAACGGAATATATTTCATCAATAAAATCCGTCAGTAAATTCATTGGTAAACTGTGAACACTATTCATCATGTCAATTACAAAGGGAATCATTGACAAAATGTTCCATCGGTATTTTTCAAAGAGCTCCAGAACTGTTCACTTTTCAATTATACTGTTAATTGTTATTCTTTATGGATAAAATCACCGACAGATTGAAAAGTCATCAGTGTTATTTGACGGTTTTCTGAAAAAATTCAACTCATTTAAAATTTTTGTTTGAATATTACAAACAGAATCATTAACGGATTGAAAAATCATTGGTGATTGTTGGTGGTTTCTGAAAAAAATTTATGAAATTGAAAATTTAAATTAAATATTATCGACAAAATAATTAAAAAATATTAATATTTAATTATCTATTGGTAAAATCATCACTATCATGCTCCAATAAAAAGCCAAAATCCTCTTATTTCACAAGAAATAGAATCATTTCTTATTCTTCCTCTTCTACTACTTCTTCTTCGTAATATGTAAAAAAAAAAAATATTTATTTCTTTCTCTTCTTTTCTCTCCTTATCTTCTTCTCTTCTTCTCCATGTTTGGATATGTCTTCTTCTTCTTTCATCTTTTATCCTCTCTTTTTTTAATTAATATGCTTTGCAAAAAAAATCCTCTCTTTTTTTAATTAATATGCTTTGTGAAATTTTTTTCTCTTCTTAGCTTCACTTGCAACTACATTAAGGTAAGATTTTTCTTTTTTCTTCCTTTTTCATGATTTTTTTCACTATATTTTTTTTATCTTTAATGTTTTTCTTAATAATTGTATAAATGCTGTTGTAAGATTTATTTTCATATGAAATTAATTTTTATTTGATTTATTTATAAATTTTTTAAATTTTTAGCAATTGCAACTTTATTTTTTTCATATGAATTTTTAAATTCTTTCTCAATTTCTTCCTTGGATTCTTTTTACTAGTCTGCCAAGTTACTTTTAAACCAGTCAAATCAATTAGGTCACATCAATAAAACTCCCATGAGGTTTGATTCTAAATCCAAGTTATGTAAGATGATGTGTCATGATATTTTTTTTGTCAATTTCATTTTTTTATTTTAATTCCATTCTTAAATATTTTTTAACGGTCAAGCAAGATGTCTTTGTACCAGCCGAGTCTATTAGATCATGTCAATGCAATTTCTATACAATTTAATTTTAAACTTAGGTTAGACATGGAGTTAAATTAGAAGGTTTGAAAATTAATTTATCAAATCGATTTTAATAAAAATATCAAATAATTTTTTATAATCTAAAAAAATCGATTTTAATAAAAATATCAAATAATGTTTTATAATCTAAATGTTTTTTATTTATTTAAAATAATTTAATCTGAAAAAAACATAGCAAAAACATGTAAACTAGTATAAATCTATTTTCTTTTTAAAAAAGTATTTGATAATTAAGTGTTATTTAAAAATTAAGAATAATTAAAACTAGTAGTGTTAGAAATATATTAGAGCCAAAAATAAAAGGATGATAACGAAGGAAAATCCACATCTTCATGTATTGGTGGCTGTGCCAGCTGAGCGAAGCGGCTGATGGGTGCCAATAGCTCTTGTCCCTATTATCTCCCGCTTTACACCCGGCTTTTTGTGCCACGTCACCAGATAAAAAGGACCTTAGGTAGCCCCTCACGTGCCTTAAAAGGAGGGCCACAATCAGACACGCTGGTTTGTGGACCCCATCTGATACTGTTAATTCTATATTTGCTCGACACGTGCCCTACAGTTTGGGATTTACTAAATTCCGACAAAGGTAGCCGAGGAGAGGACGTGTTCGTCCCAAGCCATTGACGTAAACTCTCCTGGTAATTTACTATTTCTGGGTTTTGCGAAGTTACGTTATTGTCCTTTTGAACCAATTTCTTCCATTTTTTTTTTATTATTCTTCACTTTTTTTTTTCATTTTTAAGAATAATATGGATACTATTTTAGTTGTTAATGTTTTTTTTTAAAAAAAATTATTCGACTTTAATACCGATTATGATAGGAGATTTATATTATTATAAAAATTAAACTGGTGATCTTTTAATATTTATTAGTAATTTTTAATTTTATTACTATTCTTTACTTGATTTTGAGAATTTATATCATGATTATTAAAATATTATAAGAGAATTATAAAATTAATTATTCAATTATTTTTCTTTAATTATTAATATAAAAATATTTTTTAGCAATAATATTAAAATCTTGATGATTAAAAGTATAATTTTTTAAAAGAAACTTCAATTTTTTAATACACGAGAACATTTTTCTATTTCAAAAAACTTTAATTTTTAAGATTAATGAATTAAAATCAGAAAAAAACCTAAAAAATATTAATTTTATATTTTTTTAAATAAAAAATAATTTAAAAATCACTTTATAAAACAAGAAATAATGTAGTTTAAATTATTATTTTTATATTTTTATATTTTTAATATTAATATATTAAAAATATAAAAAAATGAAAACTTATTAATTTAATTTTCTGTTTTGGAAAAAAATATAAATACATTTTGAAAAACAAAATTTAACGCAAATCATCAAAATTCTATAAAGGGAGAAGAGAGAAACCAATAGAAGGGCGTATTGGTAAACTGAAAAATAAAAATCCAAAAAAAAAAAACCCCAGAGAAACGGCATAAAAAATGGAGAAAAGAATCTGCTCTCGTCCTTTCAAAAATAAAAGGAAAAAAAAATAAGATAAAGAACCAGAAAATCAGAAGAAAAAAAAATCTATTCATTTCTTTCTTCTTTTTTTTATCTCATAAAAAAATTGTTTATGGTTTTTTTTATATATAATTTGTTGCTGGTTGTAGATTCAGAAGGAATTGAGTTAAATCGAATCGGAACGACGAGTTTCGATATGATTACTGAGTTGCAAAAGCGAGCTGTGAACTCGGTGGAAATGATGAAAGATATGGCCGATGAAGCTTCCGCTGTTGCTGCTACATCGTCTCCGAAGAACAGAGTGAAGCTCTTGTGTAGCTATGGCGGGAAAATCACGCCGAGAGCCGTTGATGGCCACCTCAAGTACGTTGGCGGTGAGACACGTGTCATTGCCATTCCTCGCGACATCAACTTCTCAGGTTTCCTGCTTTTTTCTTAATGCCCGTAATTATTTTCTAAAACAGATGATTTTTTGTTGGTGTGCTTATTAAAAAAACTTAAGTAATTATATCATGCAATTTTATTTTATTATTGTTGTTTCGACAATAGTCTATATTGTTTAGTTTTTTTTAAAAAAAACATAAATGATGTTATTTTGAATAAAAGTTTTGAACAAAATCTTTTAAAATAAATATTTCTTGAAATTAATCTATTTTATGATTCAAAATAAAAAACCGGTCAAAGGTCGTGAGGTTAAACCAGGTTTAATAACTATAAAGATAATATCTGGTAAAGGCTAAATTATTGCATTGAGTCAGAAATTTGAACTGACAAAATTTTATGTTTTGACATCTCCTTATGCAAAGAATTTGTTTAAACGTTAACAGTTATGTAGTAGCTGAGAATGGCAAGAAAGGCGGTTGAATTTGGACGCTGTGTAAATCCTTGGCTCTATATCGTGTGTTAAAGATCAAACTAAAAAGGGTTTTCGTCAATTTTCGTGAAAAAGAAAGATATAAGCTCAATCTTTAGGTGCTAGATTATGCTTATATACATGCATAATATGAATTAATTGCCTGGGTCGGCTTGTTTGATGAGCAATATAGATCTGTATGACAAAACTTGTTTGATCAACTAGTAGGATTGTGATGGTGATAGCTATGGAGCGCAGCTCTCGTTTTTCTTGGTTTCTCTACAATATTTTGCAATGGTTGCTCATGCGCTGTTAGCGACGGTGACTTCTTTTGCATGCTCTTCTGCTTTACCTCATAGACCATATGGAACTCTTTTATATGGTCCTGTTTGTGATGTGCAGAGCTTAAGAAGAAGCTTAGCGTGGAGTTTGAAGGAGACATGGTCCTGAAGTATCAGGTTATACCTGAAGAACTTGACGTTCTGGTGTCTGTGAAAACCAATGAGGATCTGAAGCATATGCTTGATGAATATGACCGTCATGAAAGTGAAGGAACTCCAAAGCTACGAGCCTTCTTGTTCCCTTCAAATCCTGCTGCAATAGAAAAATCTACTCCCATGGATCCCAGTGCACCAGAACAACGTTATGTGGAGGCTGTTAATGGTATGGTTCGTCCAACTGGCAGTTTTAGACTTTCCCCTATCAATGCAAACCATCCCTCCTTCAGCCTCTCTGCTAGCTCTTCTCCGAAAAGTACGTCTCCAGAAAGCAACACTGTTGATTCTGTGCCGCATGAACCCACCTTCATGAATAGCTATCATGTTAGTAGAAACCCAATGACTAGAGTCCATAGCTCTCCAAGTCTATGCAATCTGAACACCGCCCACCACCATAGCAGCAACCACCATCTCTACCAGCACCAGCATCAGCACCATTACCATCCCCACCACCAGCAACATAATCCAAATGGTTACCAACCTTCTAGATCACCTCACGACCCTCACAGGCTATCACCATCTTTGCCACTGGGACGGCCAGACTTTGGGAGGGCTCCTACCGGTATTGGCCTCAACCAATACTACTCTAGCAGACACAATTTAGGGAGTGGAAACTCCAGCAAATATGGGCACTATGATGACTACTCTTCTTATGGGTTGAGTACAGCTGATAGATCAGTCAGTCTTCCCCAGAGCCCCAGCAATGATAATGTGGAGTAGGGCATCTGACAGAGAAGATCAGGTATGCTCTTATGACTCGCTGCTTGGGGCTCAAAGATGGTACAGAAGGCATTTTCTTTCTTCATTTTATACTCTCTTTTTTTCTCTCAAATGGTAAGAACAGCACATGCTTAACTTTTATTTTGATGTTGTATACGTGATGAACTTCCAGAATATTTTCAGAAAATGATGTTATAGACACATGTAAAGGGTGTTCTATTGTACATTCCAAAGTAACCTAGCAGAACTTCTGATCTTATACTTTAAATCAAAGGATGATTTAGTTCATACACTTGATGCTAATGCTGCTTGCGAGTAAATTTACTTTCTCTTTCAATTCCATTAGAGTGTTCTACTGAAAAGCAATTAAATTCATGCGAACTTGAAGCATCCTGGCCGTCAAAATTGCAGGAGACTGCGAGAGAGCTGGTGAGCATATAAATTTCTTACAAGAAATTGTAGGGAAAGCAATCTCATTATATAATCCGGAATAGTAAAATCTACACAGGTTCAGAGCATAAAAAATTGTAGGAATATATTTTTACAAGCAAGAAATCCTCAATAGAGTATATAATTCCATGGAAGCAGCAAAAATCAACAGTGTCAGCCATATACTCTGACGAGCTCCGAACCCAGAACACAGGCATGCACATAGAAACTTGTAAATCAACAGCATGTTACACTAAATCTAAGCAAGCAACAAGCAACGTGCAAGGCTTATACACCCAAAATTTTAGCTATTAAAAGGTGGTTGTTGGTGTTTAATCCTCTCTATACTCCTGATTCTCACTTGGAAAGAGCAAAAACGTCTGAAAACTTTGACCCAACTTAACACCAGACCCAATCCCTACAAAATCAATTTCTTATACGCATTTTCATGGTATAGAAGGGTTCCATCTCATTTGCTGTCTGTGAAATCTGCATCGATGACATCTCCATCTGGTCCCTTGCTCGATGAATCTGAGGGTCCAGCTTCACTGCCAGGGGCAGGACCAGCGCCAGGCGCTGCACCTGGCTGATTGTAAAGGGACTGGCCAAGTTGCATAACTTCCTGATTAAGGGCAGCCATGGCATCCTTCATCCCTTGAGTTGATCCACCTGCAATTGCATCCTTGAGCTCTTGGAGTTTTGCCTCAACCTTCTCCTTGACAGGGGCTGGAACCTTCTCCCCAAGCTCTTTAAGCTGTTTCTCAGTCTGGTAGACAACAGAATCGGCCTGGTTCTTTGTGTCAATGGCATCTCTCTTCTCCTTGTCCTACTTTGCAAACTTCTCAGCTTCGCTGACCATCCTCTCAACCTGCATAAAATCCATAGGTCAATAAACATTATTCCGCCATGAGAGCAATTGATCAGCTCTAAGAAGGTCAATTAATTGGCTTGTAGTTGATGAACCTATCCTATAAGCAAGAGTATCATAGCACTTCGATCTAGCAAGCACATTAAAACATGAAAATCCTATTTTAAAGAGCAAGCACTGCTGCTCAAAACATGAAATGACTACCTTAACCAGAAGCTTACATGCATCACGTTAATGCAGTATCAAATGCTATCCAAATCGAATTGTTCATGGAAAAACGTACCTCATCACTGGGTAAGGTGCTAGCACCAGTAATGGTGATGTCTTGCTTCTTCCCAGTGCCCTTGTCGACAGCGGTGACGGAGAGAATACCATTGGCATCAATATCAAATTTCACTTCAATTTGAGGAACTCCTCGTGGAGCTGGTGGGATACCATCTAGGCGGAAGCTGCCAAGGGATTTGTTGTCCCTCACAAACTCTCGTTCACCCTGGAGAACATTAATTTCTACACTTGTCTGTCCATCAGCAGCAGTTGAGAACACCTCTGATTTGGAGGTTGGAAGAGTAGTGTTTCTTGGGATGATTTTTGTCATAACCCCTCCTAAAGTCTCCAGACCAAGAGATAACGGAGACACATCCAGCAGCACGATGTCACTGACATCTCCAGCCAAGACACCAGCCTAGAGTCAAACAAGAACAAAGATTAGTTCACAAGAAATTGAGAGATTGCCAAATAGAAATACATGCTGTCTTTTTTAACTGTGTAGTTGACAGTAATTTTAAATCAACAGCATGCCCTTGTTAAGAGTAGGGAAGTAGCCTCACCTGAACTGCAGCACCTAGGGCAACAACTTCATCTGGATTGACAGTGACATTGGGATCTTTTCCAGTCAACTTCTTTACAAGCTCCTGTACAGCTGGAATACGTGTTGACCCACCAACAAGGATCACTTCATCTAGATCCTTAAAGGACAGTTTGGCATCCCTCAAGGAATTCTCAACTGGAGTTTTAAGCCTGGTGGAAGGTACAAAATCAGTTGCTTAGCATGTTGGTTACAGTCATAAGCTCGCACCACCAGAATTTGAAAGCAAAGACAAAAATGCAGATGATGGCTGGATGCACATAAAGTAACAAGTACTAAATAAAATACCTGTCAAGCAGATCAGAACATAATTCCTCAAACTTGGCCCTTGTCAGGGTGGTCTCAATGTGCTTGGGGCCATCTGCAGTAGCAGTGATGAAAGGTAAACTGCAGAAAAGGAGAAACTTTTATCCGATGAAATTGAAGGTAAATCGGAGAAAGAGAGAGCTGACAACATGCAAAATCGAAGTACCTGATGTTTGTCTGGGTCAAAGAAGACAGCTCCATCTTAGCTTTCTCAGCTGTCTCAGTTTGCCGCTGAAGTGCGTGTTTATCCTTCAAAAGATCAATACCTTCGTCTCTTTTAAAGTTACCAGCAAGCCAATCAACAACTCTCTGCATAGTAAAGATCACAATGAATTTCCCTTGAACTAAATCCACAAAAGCGTAATGAACTTAAAATAAAGAAGAGCAGGTCCAACCTTGTCGAAATCATCACCCCCCAAATGTGTATCTCCTGAAGTAGAAAGCACTTCAAAGACTCCATCACCAACCTCAAGCACTGCATAAATATAATGGAGATTCAGTGCGCGTTTTCTATTTTCCTTTGATAGAGACAAAAAGAAAAGTTGTTTTTGTACTCTTTAGTTTTCAATTATGATAAGAACACAACACTTCTGCTTTTGCCAAAAAGCACAAAGTAAAACTAATGGCAGTTAACGATCCACAACAATAAGATACCTGAAACATCAAAAGTACCACCACCAAGGTCAAATACTAGGATGGTTTCGTTGCTCTTCTTTTCAAATCCATATGCTAACGATGCAGCAGTAGGTTCATTGATGATTCGAAGAACTTCCAACCCAGCAATGCGACCAGCATCCTTTGTGGCTGTCCTTTGGGAATCATTGAAGTACGCAGGCACAGTAACAACTGCTTTGGTCACTTTGTCATTCAAGAATTTTGATGCATCATCCACAAGTTTCCTCAAAACCTAAATTTACAAAATTAAAAAGACAGGATAAGAAATTTGAAATGACCAACAAGCACAAAGCGGAAAGACAAGACTTGAGCAATGAGCTCATTATCCAAGAACTAAACCATAAAACATCAAGATTGAAGTTTTATTTCATTATACTTCCCCATAAGAAAAAAGGACCAAACATGTAAGCTAGACGAAACCATAACACCAACATAGCATGCAACATGAGTTCAAAGTAGATAACTCATGTAATTAAACTGTGAAGCATCCAGCATGTACTAAGAGGCATGCCCCAGTACGAAAACACCCTATTATCCAAATCCCAAATCAAATAGCAAATGAAAATTAATTCCAAATCCGTAGATAACTCATACTCATCAAAGAAACATTCTAAGTAAACAGGAAAAACAGCAGACCCATAATTCCAAATCCAATAACATCACTAGGCAGCAACCAAGACACACAGACAAAAAAAGGTCAAAAGAAGCAGTCTCAATATACCTGAGCTGAAATCTCTTCGGCAGCAAACTGTTTCCCAATAGCAGGACACTCCAATTTTACATTTCCATTCTCGTCCCTCACAACCTTATACGAAACCTGTTTAGACTCCTCATCTACTTCACTCATCTTCCTCCCAATAAACCTCTTCACCGAAAAGAAGGTATTTTCAGGGTTGACCACCGCCTGCCTTTTCGCAATCTGCCCCACAAGCCTATCCCCATTTTTTGTATACGCCACAACAGATGGGGTAGTCCTCTGCCCCTCCGCGTTTGTAACTATCGTGGGTTTCCCTCCTTCCATCGCCGCCACCGCCGAATTGGTTGTTCCCAGATCAATCCCTACAACTTTCTCATTAACTATCCTAACCGGCCCGGTACTATACCTTCTTCTTGAAGTGTTATTCGTATGTTTTAAGAACGTGGCTGTGGTTTTTCTAAGGTTTTGGCCAAAAAACACTGATCTTGGTGCAAAAGAAAAGTTGGGTTTTCTTGAAGATGTGCTACCAATCCCACCACCAACACCAAGACCATGAATCTGGGCAGCTGAGGAAGCCATTTTTGTCTGCCTATAACCCCAGAAACAAAGAAATAGAGATGGAGAGAGACAAAAGCCTAAGGAACTGGAGCGTGGCTTTGTGCGAGGTGAGGTGAGGTGAGGTGATTCTGTGTAGAAGAAGAAGATAAGAGAACGAGAAGGGAGGGTTTTGGGCTAATAGAGAAGGTGAACGAGGGTTACGTGTGTTAACACGTGGCATGTTCTGGAATGATCTAGGGCTGCCCGTTTGTGTGTTCAAGGGCAGGGATGATGGTTGTTGAAATTGAGTGGACCTGCCTGCCCTGCCCGGATGGAATCATCGAGGTGGTTCATGGCTTCCTCATGCTAGATAATGGGTACACTGCGTTCACCTATCATAATGCTTTAGATTTGGAAACTATGGTCTGATTTGAGAGATTTATGATTTAAAATTTTATTTTATTTTAAAATTTTAAGAAAAACTAGAAAAATATTATTTAATAAAATTCTATTAACTCGATTAAAGTAAGAGAAAATTACTATGCCTCTATATATATATTTATTTATTTTATATCTACAACCCCATCAAACAACAAACACAAATCCACTCTCTCTCTCTCTTAGCTTATAATTTCTAAACAAAAGCTCCCTAAAATTGTCCAAACTTCATCTTGATTGAACCTAAAATTCTTTAAAATCAAATTTTAGGTGATTCATAGTTAATTTTTTATATATTTTAGTGTCTATTTACTTTATATGTAATTTCTCTCATATAATGCTTTTATTGAGAATGAAAAAAAAATATGTTGTCACATTTATTTTTTAAATGAGACTTCAATAATCAAGTTTTAGATTTAATAATTATTTAATTATTGTTATTTTCTTATATTATTGTTTGGTTTACTTGATTAAACAAAAAAATACATTAATTTAGGGTTATTGTGTAACATATAAATCCCTAAATTATTGTCGTGGAAAAACAATATGGATTGTTTTTTGAAAACCTAAATAAATCCTCAAATTAAAAATTTATGTTATTGTTCATAACTCTAATTTTGTATTCTTTTACTGTAACATATTTAATTAGTTAGTGTTCAATTATGTAGGAAAGAATGAGTCCAGCATTATTGGACGTCAGGAGACGTCAGGGGTTGCTGCACAACTGCTTCTTTGACATATTATATGTCTTAGATAGATATGTTTATTTACAATTTATGACATGAACTTACATGGTTTAGTCTAAGAGATGACATGGGTAATAAAATAATTGATGATGCCTTAGACCATGTAGATATTAAATATGCATAGAGTAAAGAAAAGGAAGAAATCTACTTTTATGTTGATGTTGATCCTAATGTTGCTCCATTGCAAGAAAACAAGCAAGTGTTATATAGGCAAACCAAATGTTACCGGTAGATTTATAGGAAGAAAATATTTTTTAGAAAAAAATGGTAATAAAATTATATTAATTGTAAGAAAAAAAAATTAGATTCTGATAATGATGATATTAGTGA